ATTTAATAGATTATATCATTGGGTATAATATTCTTCATGAGATTAATAGATGTCAACCCGACATGAATTGTAATCCCAATCATGTGTTCGGTATTTGATGGCAAGTTGTATATATTGATTGAATATAGTGTTGGCCAACACTATGACTGTCCATATGATGAACGCCCACCCGAGCCATAACACTGTCCGCACTTTACCGGCAATCTGTAGTCGACGTGTTTTCCGACAATTATTTTAATTTATAAATGTTTTATAAATAGTTTTGGCAAATTTTAAATTAAAAATATTGTATAAGAATTAGTGCACATTAGATACAAATACTGAATGTTAATTATATAATAAAATTTAATTTCAAACTTAATTATAACTATAATTAAAGTTAATGTTAGTTAGATTGTCAGGTTTTTGTTGTTATCGAAATTTATAATTAAATAAATGGTTACTTTATGGGCACTTAACGGCCCCAAACAATTATGGTACAATTATTAGTATATTTATAATAACTTATAAAAAACGTGTAATTTTGTTAATAGTTTAATACAATTAAATGTAATAGTATCAGAAATACATTTTTGGTAATACAAATATCATTTTTGTTAATAGAGCTAATAAATGTTGTATATATTTTTTGCATTTATATTCCACCAAAGTTTCACTTTTTTCTAGCCTTATTAATAACACAGAATTAATAATATTATTATTATGGCAATGAATTTTAAAACTGATCAAGATAAACCAATAGCTTCGGAGCTTAGAGTAATTGGTGCGGGTACACATTTTTATCGCATTGGATTATCACTATTCAAACCCGAGTATTTAGTTTCAAAACGTTCAAAACTACTTCATCCGGTGGTAGTATTAAGTGGTCTATTAATAATGATGGTTAGAAATCTTGTGCTTTTATACATTCATCTAAAAGGCACAAATTTGCCCGAAGTATACTATGTATACCTAGGCGATTTAGATCATTTATCTCAAACTGGATTCACTATAAATCTGTTATTATTATTTTACGGAGTATTTGCTATATTATCTCAATTAATAAATTATGTAAACTATAGAAATGGTGTAAAACCCGTAGATTTGCGTGTATTTCAAATGATGGCCGGTTTTGTCGCACCGGAAGCTATTGGTATTAGAGATACGGAAATGGTGATAAAATTGTCCATGTTACTTGGAAAGTTAACATCATTTGCTAAAATAATGGTTACATCTGTAGGATTAAGTGGGTTTATATACCCATTTGCTTTATACTTACTGTATAATTTTCATAATGGTTACGTATTAAGTATAAACCTAGCTCATTCGGCATTTTACGCCCTTTTAAGTTATTATTGGTACAATATAATTATTTATCAAGCCATCTATTACATTTTTATTGCGTTTTATCTTAAATCCATGATTAAAATACTGAATATAGAAATTCTGAATCATTTGCTTAAACATAAACCACTCGTCAGTATTATAAATAATTTTTGTAAACTTAACAAAATTTATGACAATATCGCTCAGTATAATGCAATATATTGGTCAAAATACTTGTTTACCATCTGGCTAACATTTAGCGCCATCATAAGTTTATTATTATATATATCATTGTACTCGACAGCACCATTATTGGCCAAGGTGGTCCCAATATTAGTCTCAATATTCTGCAGCTCTTATTTGCTATTAATAATCCATATTTCATCCGCTTTATATAATGAGGCAAAATATACGTATAAATTATATAATGCATACATTTTGCACTCAAAGTATATACCATTACGAGTTAAATTTAAGGTACATTTTTAACATATTATATTTTATGATTTTTTAAATCTTTTTAATTCTATATTATAGTTAACAAATATAATCGAGAGAATCGGCGCCAAAGGAATTGGCTTTTATTGTTGGAAATTATTTATTATAAACCGATTCCGCGGTTACGAAGTAATTATGTTATAAATCAATTAAAATATTAATTATATTTTAAATCTAAAATTTAATTTTATAGATTATATCATTGGGTATAATATTCTTCATGAGATTAATAGATGTCAACCCGACATGAAGTGTAATCTAGACATGCAACTTTTTCCAATTTTCATTTCCCTGCCCTGCCCTGTTCCCTGTAATTTTTGCTTAGAGGGAATCCCTGCCCTGCCCTGTAGAGGCTAACAGGGAACCCCGGGGATTTCCTGTAATTTCCCTGTAAATTTTTTTTAATGAATATTTCTTATAAAAACTTGTATTTATACATTATATTTCATTATTTTAATAAATAGACTTAAAATACATATAAATTATAGTAATATAATTGTATTACAATCTCTTTATAGCACAAAATTCATTCACAACTATTGACTTCTTTATCACTCACTTTCTGTATTACAGGGAAATTTTGTTACAGGGATTCCCTCTAAGGGTTACAGGGATTCCCTGTCCCTGCCCTGTTCATTGATTCTCATTTCCCTGCCCTGTATTTTCCCTGTACAGGGAACAGGGAATCCCCGGGGAATCCCTCTAACAGGGAAAATAAGTTGCATATCTAGTGTAATCCCAATTGTGTGTCTGATATTTGATGGCAAGTGTAAGCATTGATTCAATGACTACAGATTTGTATAACCAACCCTATGACTGTCCATGCAATGAACGCCCACCATGTATATAAAGCAACAATTTTTCCTGATATACAAAATACACTTTGCAGTAGTTAATTATGAAAACAATAAATTTTTATCAAATACTCAAAAATAAAAGTTAATTTTGTTATCGATTGTTAAATTTTTATTAATTTCAAAGATCATTAAATTAATATTCAATCAACATTTTAAATATCAACTTGTCTTAACTAATTGTGTTTTATAGTTAGTTTTAATAATATGAATAACCAACATTAGCCAGTAATCATTGGATATATTCATTAATTATTTGTCGCAAATTATAAACATGTTGTTCATTAAAATGAGAGAGAGAGAGAGAGAGAGAGAGAGACATTTATTAGTTATTTAATTATTATGCTCATATATTAGCACATAATGACTTATGTAACACAACATACATAAACTACAGTGTAGAATACATAAAATAGTACAAATAAATAATACATTATCGTTACAGATATTCTAATGTTTTTAGTATTTTCAATAATATAATTAAATTGTACTAATAATACTATAATTATCAGAAATGTATTTTAATATAGAATTGTAGGTCATAATATTCAGAATAATATAAAACAGTAATAATAACAGAGTGTTTAAATTAATATTACGAGAATGAATATAAATACTAATCTAGATCAACCAATAGCTCAGGAACTGCGAGTGATTGGTGCGGATAAACATTTTTATCGCATTGGATTATCATTATTTAAACCAAAATACTCGGATCCAAAACGTGCTAAATTGCTTCACCCAGTAATTGTATTCACTGCTATATTAATGATGATGGTTAGAAATTTAACACTTGTATACATTTATGCTAATAGCATAAAAATGCCCGATGTATACTATGTATACCTAGGTGATTTAGATCATTTATCACAAACTGGATTCACTGCAAACCTGTTATTGTTTTTATTGGGATTGTTTGCAATATTATCGCAATTAATAAATTACATAAACTATAGAAATGGTGTAAAACCCGTAGATTTGTGTGTATTTCAAATGATGGCCGGTTTTGTCGCACCGGAAGCTATAGGTGTTAAGGACCCGGATTTTATTTTAAAACTATCAAGATTACTTGCTACATTGACAACTTTTGCCAAAGCAATTACTAGAACTGAAGCAGTTATGGGTTTTATGTATCCGTTTATTTTATGTATATTGCTTGTCAACCGAAATGTTTACATGTTAATTATAACCCTAGTTAATTCCACAGTTTACTCAATTTGGAGTTTTCATACGTTTAACATAATTATCTATCAAACCATCTATTACATTTTTATTGCATTTTATCTCAAGTGCAAAGTTAATACATTAAATACACAAATTGGAAATTATTTAATTAAAAATAAACCACTCATTAATATAATAACGCTTATCCGTAAATATAATGCAATTTATGCCGATATCGTTCACTATAATTCAATATATTGGTCAAAGTACTTGCTTGTGGCATGGTTAACATTTAGCACTATTATAAGTTTGCTATTTTATATGTCAATGTACTCGAAAACTATATTTTTAGCTAAAATCGTCCCAATTTTAGCCACAATATTTTGCAGCACTTATTTGCTATTAATAATCCATATTTCGTCCGCTTTATATAATGAGGCAAAATATACGTATAAATTGTTAAATTCATACATTTTGCACTCAAAGCATTTACCATTACGAGTGAAATTTAAGGTAACTACTATTAGTACATTTAACTACTGTAGTAAATATAATTATTTTATTAATAATTATAATTTTATATAATAGTTAACAAATATAATAGAGAGAACCGGCGCTCAAAGAATAGGCTTTTACTGTTGGAAACTATTTATTATAAACCGATTCCGCGGTTACGAAGTAATTATATTAAACTTTAATTAAAATATTATTGATATTTTAATTCTAATAATTATTTAATAGATTATATCATTGGGTATAATATTTTTTATGAGATTAATAGATGTCAACCCAAAATGAATTGTAATCACAATCGTGTGTCCGGTATTACAAAATCTCTTTTCATTATTTATAATACAATTTATACGTTTTATTATTGTAATAAAGTAATAAATAGTTCGAAATTGTTTATTTACTTTATTATTGTATAAAATGTGTTTAAAACTAGTTTATTATATAAATATTTATAAGAATTAAACTTCCAATTAATTGCAATAATGACAATAAATGTTGTAATCAATTGTTAAGACTTTTTTTTGATAAAGAAATTGATAATTGAATATTTAATTTATAAGACGTTTAATTAACATTTATTGAATTCATTGACATGTTTTTAGTTAATTGAGTTAAATATAATTATTAATTGATTGAATGTGTTAAATAAAATGATAAGTAAAACAACTAATAGTTGTGAATTATATGATAAGTGATGGTATGGTTGGGATGAGTGGCCACAGAGTGTGCCTCCATATCAACACTATTGTCGCACAGACTGTGACAGAAATCGCATCGGAGGGACAGCTTATGGGTGGCGCCCAATGGTTGGGAGAGTACGGGTGCGGGTGTTGTGGTTAAACCATAACTACTATAAAACACATAATAAACAATCAATTAAATAATGAGTTCAATAAAACATCAAAAACAGTATTAACTCACGTAATGTTTGCATAGCTATCGCTTGGAATCTCTTCAATGATATTACCATCGGATCCATTACTCTTCATACCATTCATATCTTCATTATCATCAACTCGTGTGTCGCTGTCGGCCGTAATCATAATCCGTTTGAATTCATGTTACGCCGGCCGTTGTCTTCGGGGCTCACATTCTTTGTCGCAATTGTTGTTCAGATCCACTCCCGATGTCTTACGGATCAAATCGCCGACAAAACTCTTAAGCGCTTTTCCACTCTTATTCTCGTAGTTAAGGGCCGGCAGTCGACGGACAGCCAGGCGTACGGTCCGTACGGGTTGTCGGCGACGGAGGCGGTCGTCTTCGGCCGCCTCTAACACCTCTAACCACCGCTCAATCTGTCCGTCGATTACGTCGTGTCGCGTAAATCCGATAAACTTGTGTTCAATGAGTGCCTGGCGTTGAGTACCCGTCAGATAACCGATGCTCACACGATTGACCCGCAACTGGCGTATGGCCTTTACGGGTGAGTCCCGGAGCGAGCGTTTGTGCTGTGCGTTCAAGTGCTGGAGTATATCGCGGGCCGTATTGTCTACAGATTCGTGGCAAAGGCCGCACTCTATTGCCGCCCAACACGAGTGCTTATATAAGTGCGACCGAAGCTCACGGATGGTGTCAAAAGGTTTAGCCATCAGTCCTTTCATGTCGGCCACGCGCTCACATACGGGACAGTATAAGTGACCCGTAATCGGTGTCCACACAGACTCGTCGGTTATAACATTCATGAACTCCGGCGCCGACTGTTTGGTCAGAAACTCCTTACACCACGACCTGACCCGACGCTCGACCCCATAGTCGACAGTTTGGTTACTAATGTCAGGAAAATGGCTGATCATGTGATCCACTGCCTCGCAGTACAGGCCCTGTGATTGGGCACAAAATAGACACACGTATTGGGGCTCACATTCATTGTCTCGAGTGCTATCGGACTCTGATTTGTGGTCAACAACTGTCTCATCATCGACATCGGTGTCCATTTCGTCAGTGTCTTCGTCATCGGTGGTCAGCACTTCGGTGTCGGACTCCCAGCCCAGACCTCTGGCCCTCGCGATGGCCTCGTAGTCGACATCTACGGGACCGTCGTTTATGAACCAGTCATCCGAGTCTTGAGACGGACTGCGCTGTCGTTTGGCCACACGTTTCGGCGGATCCAATAGATACTTGTCTACTGTAAGCTCGGGTTGAAAGGGTCGGTCCAACACTGGGTGCGGTTCCCAAAACCGGCGGTCATCCGTTGGTGATAATCGTTGCACATATTCATCGCTGTCTTCGTTATAGTCTGACAACTGATCCCAAACTCTGGTCTCACTTCTGGTCTGACTTTCGCCGACATATCCGTCGGTTTCGTAATTCAATTCGTCGTCCGATAGACTGTCGGCAATCGTTTCCTGAGCTAAACGTATAGTGAATTCAATTAATAACTGAATTTAATTTACATTTAATTTCATTAATAGTAAACGCAATTATAGACACATTTAATAATACCGTACTATTGGCTCATTTGAATACTAACTAGCCTAAACCAGTTCTAACGATTGCTATAATAGTGAACATAATTTTATAATACCTAATATTTTATAATAATAGGTATATTGTAACTTTCTTAAGCAACAGAATCTGAGTTTAATATAAATGTTGAATAATTACTTTTGTAACAAAAAAATTTTAAAATAAATTTAACTATCCTTAACTTAATTACAATAACAGAGGGAATCATACTATTGTGACGATTAAACATACTGTATTATGGTAATATATAAATTACGTCTAATTAAAACTAATTCCAATATTAAATATCTTAGTATTACTCTACAGAATTTTCATTAAATATAGGATTACTATTATTAGCTTAGCATTAATAAGAAACTTATCATTTTCATAAGCTTTACTTTATCCCACAGGTTTAACATTACCCATTTATGGACAACATTAGAACCATAGGATTAGCATTACCCATAAAATATAATAATCCCCATATTAAAGTATAGCAATAGACTAAAGCTAGAAACCAATATTAAATTTAAATTAAAATTTTTAAAGTACTTACAATTCGGTTGAATATTCCCTGACCAATTTTCGGTATCACTGATGGAGCGTTGCGAACACATTTTTATTATGAATACACAGATTATAAATTGTGGTTTTGACGAGCACTTGCACTAAAATTATTAAAGTTCAATTCAAATTTTATTTCAAAATTTTTTCAGTATTATGCTCTGAGCGGGTATTATTTTTGACAGCTTTCAATAGTTTCGCCGTTATTTATAATCACATAGATTTAATTAATTTTAATAAAAATAGTATAAATATTTTCTATTTAATTAGTACTTTAATTTTATGTATAATTAAAACATTATAACTAATTAGATCATCAATTATTTATATAAAACACTTAATTTGATTTATAAAATTCTGCAAATCTTCAACAGTCTAAAGCGCCACATATTAGGCAAATATTGTAAACACATGTAAATTGTTTGTGTATGAGTCATATATGAGTTTATGTATGAGTCATATGTCACATGTTTACTTATCAATATTTATCAATATAACTAAAATAATCACTCTTTTTAAAAATATAATCAAACGTAAAATATTATATTTGATGGGATTATTGATAGGAAAACACAAAAAATTGTGATTTTATTGAATAACTGAATATAAATGTTTGTATTATTTGTAAAACCCGGTGGTCAGACCATTACGGGTGCATATAATGGCGGACAGAATGAATGAGGTGATTGACATAGGGTACAAATATTTGATGCAATTTATTTCTATCATCATTAAACATCATTTACATTTACATTGTGTTAATTTTGATCTTCATTTAATTGTTTTACATTAATTGTATTATAAGTAATATTGTATTCATTGGCGTAAAATTCAATAAAATTATTATAATTTGTTTCAATAATTTTATGTTCGTTTGAAATTTTATAAATTTTATCATTAATTAAAACACAAATAAATTCATTGTATTTAATATCAATCCATGAATTAATTTCTCGTATTTCTTGGAAATGATGTTTAGATAGTATTTGTTTCGGAATTTTCTGCACTTTATTTGTATTTTTAATTAAAAATCTTTTTGTTTTATATAATCCGCAAAAATATAGACCACTTGTTGTGTGAAAATATGTCCCAAAATTACTACAACTCATTGCTTTGACATCACTTATGGTTGATATAAATCGGGGTTTAAATAAAATACTATCGTTTATATTGTGTCCCAATGTATGAAATGTATTGTAACCCCAACTGAAGACATGTCCGTCGGATGTGATGGCAAATGACGACCAAAGATAGCAATAAATTGATTGTATTTTGAAATCATAATTAAATTGTATCTCAATTGGTATATCAATTGGTGTATCAACATGGTCATATTCAAATCCGCAGCCAATTTGGCCCATTTTATTGCCACCCCAGGCATACACCCGGCCATCACCGGTGAGGGCCAGTGTGTGTTCATAACCACAACTGAGTTGTACAATATTTTTATCAATAAAATATGGTATTATCTCTGGTTGTGCAACAAATTGACTAATTTCCATATTTGTGGCCAATTGACCACGGTCATTACGCCCCCACCCGTATATGTGATGCTTATCATTGACTGCTAATACAAAACTCAATCCATTGACAAAGTATTGTATGTTTTGATGACATAATTGTGGGATCAGTTCTGGTGATTGTATGGCATTCTTGTGGCCAAACCCCAGATATCCGTATTTATTATTACCAAAACCATAGACCATATCATCGTTTGTCACAATCAATACATTAATCTTATCGTCCAAATCAAGAAAAGTGTGTAATTTTGAAATATTTTCTTTAATATTTGCAGGAATTTTATCACAAAATGTAAACTTTTCTAACACTTCACACATTTTTACAAAAATTGAAAGACTAATTAATGTTGCATTTAAGACACAATTTAAGATTTATCATCAATTTTAAACAAATAATTTACAGTTAATTCAGAGAATAATTTTGTATATTTATTAAATTAAATGAACTAAAAAATCACACAATTTTGCACTTTTAGGTATGAAATCCTTTAATAAATGTAATAAACAGTTAAAACAATAGATTTCTTAAGGAATTTAATGCAATAAATGATAATAACTATAGTTTTAATCGCCATTTAGTCGTATAAATTAATAATTAATTAACTAAAAAAGTTTTATTCTAACAAATTACAAACTAAGCATCTAATAATTAATTTATTATTTATGAAATTACAAATTACATTCAATAAAAGTGCAAAATTTTATGATGTATAAATATAATGATGATAAAGTAAATATTTATAAATCAAATTATCTAAATAGTACACAACAGTATGTGTATTATATACTGATATTTTACACATACTGTACAGCATTTAATCAATATAATTATCTATTATATAAATTTATTGAAAAAACACATTTCACTGCATTTTGTAAATTAAATAAAATAAAACTTATTAATAATGTTATAAAAATAATCAATTAAATAGTTTTAAATATGATTCGTTTGAATAACGGCATAGAAATGCCTGCATTAGGTGTGGGAACCGGTGGTCTGACCTCTTCGGGCGGATTTCTTAGCGGACAGGCATTGGTGGACACAATCAATACTGCGATCGACATCGGGTACAGACATATCGATACGGCCAGCAATTACGGCAACGAAGTGGCCATCGGTCGGACACTCAACGCACTTATAGCCAACGGTATAGTCAATCGGGAGGACCTGTTTGTCACCACAAAGATCTTTTGGCACACATTTCCGGTCACAGACATAATGGCGGCTACGGTAGAGGCCGTACGGCTATCTGTGCAACAGTTGGACTTGCAATACGTAGACCTAATGCTATTACATCGGCCCCGGGATGTGGTGCCCGACTATAACGCACAGGTATGGCGAGGGTTGGAATGGGCTCTGAGTGCCGGTTTGGTCCGAGCAATAGGTGTATCCAATTTTGGTGTCCCAGAGTTGGAGGGGCTGTTGTCTACAGCACTGGTAGTGCCGGCAGTGAATCAAATTAAAAGTCATCCCAAATGTGGGAATCGAGATGTGATCGACTGGTGTCACAAACAGGGCATACGAGTGACAGCACACACACCGTTGGGCGCCGGGAGTCTTACCACCGATGAGACTATTGGTTCAATTGGTCGCACATATGGTAAGAGTGCGGCACAAGTGATGATCAAATGGCAATTACAGAGGGGTTTGGCTGTCATTCCCAAGACTACCAAAACAACCAGAATTTGCGATAACTTTAATGTCTTTGACTTCAGTCTCACTGAAGAAGAGATGAATGTTTTGGAAAATATGTAAAAAATAATTTTGAAATTTTAAAATAAAATGAATTTATTTTATATTGATTTAATGTGCAATGTATCAAAAGTCTAGGGACTGATACTCCCTTATGGGAGTAACAAATCTCACCAACATCATTTATTATAAAATAATTCAGCAAGTTGGTATATTTTTATAATTAAATTTAATATTTATAATATAAATTTTATGTTATAACTTTTGTTGTGTTAGGATTTACATTGTGTTAGATTTCATCTTTATTTAATTGTTTAAATTAATTGTATTATAACTTATAATTTATAAGTAATTTGGTATTTTTTAGCATAAAAGTAAATAAGATTATTATAATTTGTTGTAATTATTTTGTGCTCAATTGATATTTCATAAATTTTACCGTTAATTAAAACACAAATAAATTCATCATATTTTTTAGCAATCCATGAATTAATTTCTTGTAATTCCTGGAAATAACGTTTAGATAGTATTTGTTTTGGGATTTCCTGCATTTTATTTAGATTTTTAATAAGAAATATTTTCTTTTAACATAGTCCACAAAAATATAAACCATTTTTTGTGTAAAAATATGTACCAAATTTTGAAAAATTAATTGTTTTTACATCACTTATGGTTGATATCAATTGTGGTGTATATATACTTCTGTGGATTATTCCAATTTGATCCCAACTATTCGTTATAAGTTATAATTAATAATTATTTTTAATAAATATATTCATTGTTTTTAATTTAAATAAATTAATTTACAATTTTATTAAACTAATAAATGTTTAATTTGAAAAATAATGAAATATAGATTTTATTAAACAATTCATACTTACAATTGACTGTAAATGTAAATAATTTCAATTTTCCATAATTTGATTTCAAATAAATATTTATTTTTAAAAAATAACTAAAATTGTGAAAAATAATTTCAAACAAACAATTTAAATGATAAAAAGCCTAAAAATTATAAAATATTTGTCAATCAATTATTTGTTAACAGATTTAGATCTGATATCGGGTTTGGATTTCAGTAATTTGACGGAAGTGTCTGAGAGCTCACTATTACTGACCGATTGATCGCTTGAGACGACTGGTTTGGACGACTTCTTCGGGTAGACTATCGCTAATGAGATCAAAATAATAGGCAAAACAATAAAAACGACGATTAGAACTACGATAACCCAAAATAATATCGATGTATTTGTGGGCATATTTTGACCGCAAACTGGTT